CCATAGCACCGGACAATGTTGGACCTCCCTTTAGGACTTTGCTGCTAAAACGGGTGCCGGTTTTTCTTCCAGATTTGGGTTTTAGTTCTTAAGAGATGACCTTGGGCTCATTGGGAAACTCTCCCCCTGAAAAAAAACCACAGATGAGTTGCTGCTGGTCTGGGTGAAGCCCGGGCAGCGGCTCTGGGCTGAGCCCTCCTGTTGTTCCCCCTCAACCCTGGGGTAGGACCCCGAGTCCAGCCCTCCTGTTGTTCCCCCTCAACCCTGGGGTAGGACCCCGCGGCAGTCAGAGCCACCAACTCTGTGGGGTGTCATTTATCCCAGCACCCAAAGGTGGGGGTACAATCCAGGCCGCCCCCAACTCAGCTGGGCTCTGTACCGGCCCCCGGCCCTATTCTCTCCAGGGCCGTTTCACGGTGCAGGTGTGTGTGTGTCCCCCACTGCAAAGCACTTTAGGGTCCCCCCAGACCAGGTGTCCTCGCTGGGGACCACACCGGGCAATGGTGCTGGACCAAGGGTTCGTTAGCGCCACTCGCCTCATTAAGACAGCGTGGCCTGGTGCGTGTTAGCCGCGGAGCCGCAGGATTTGTCCTGTGTCAGGTGATAACCTGCACGATTCCTTTTTGTTTTCCTATTTTATTTTTTTGGGGGAGATCTACAAGTGCTGACGGGGCCAAAATCCCCACGCACCGGGGAAGAGCTCACTTGCTCGCTCCGGGCTCAGAACGGCTTTTAAATGAAAATAAAACCAGGATTTATTTATTTATTTTTTTTCTAGCACATCGCCATCCGCTGCCGGCATCCTTGTTTCTCTGCACCAGGGAACCCTGCATGTCACCTTTGTGCCACCCTGGCCATGCCGGCTGGCGGGGGATGAAACCGGGTTGACGGTGCCTTTAGTGGGGGGAACCAACCGTGGTTTTTCGGGAACATCCAGGACCAGGAATGCTCCGGGCGTAGAAGATGGGGAGGTTGTCTTTTTTTTCACTAGATGGCAGCAGAGACTGTGGGATGTGACAGTCCAGTTGATGACAGAGGCCGGTGGACGTCTGAGTCCTAAGTGAGGATTGGGGTGGTGTCACCTCATTTATTTCGAGGGGAGATTTACCTCCCTGGTGTGCTGGAGGGGAGTGGGCTTGCGGTTTGGCCCCCTTTCTTCATCAAAAATACCAGAGCTGCTGCTCCAAAGCTTCCCAAGAGCTTTCGATTGCGTGGGTGATCTGTTGGATCAGAGGTGCTGCCGGGGACTCACCCAGCTGGTTTTGCTGGTGCGCCTGCCAAAACGAGGTTGGGGCTGTTTTTTAATTTTTTCTAAAACAAATTGGTGCTTGACAAGTTCAAGCTCAAAATGAGGCTCGTGGGCCCAAGACAGTGATTTGGGATTGGGTTTTTCTGGTATCGGGCGCCCAGCCTGGTGTTTGCTCTCCTGTCGACGCCCTGTTTGAGCTTATTTGCTTTTCTCTGTGTAAAGAAATGTGGCGTAAGAGCCTCAGGTGCAGGAAACATCACCTTGTTGGCGGTGGCAACCCTGCTCTGTCCCTTGGGGATGAGCACAGCCCCCTCAAACGCTCCCCCAGTCACCTTCCTACCACCCCAGCCCACGCCAATGCCAGAAATAGGATTTTGCTTTGCATGAAGTCAGGGATTATTCCTTCTCCTGCAATGACATCTCGTTTTGATTTTTTTATTTTTTTAACCCCACTGCTAAGCCTGGCTTGTTAACCTGAGGATCTGCTTTGAGATCCCAGCTGTCATCTGGTGCGGGAGAAAAAGTGTTTCAGTTCGAAGGACGTTAAGGACTTCTTGGGCTTCAAGGAGACCACAGTTATCTTTGGCTTTTAGACCTCAAACTCTGTCCTTTTGTTCTGCTTGGTGTGTGTTGGTTTGTTTTCTTTTTTTAATCTCAAGTAACAGAACTGGTTTTGTGCTGGAGGAAGCAGCGAGTGCAGCGAACGCTAATGAGGGTCGGGGAGCACTGACTCCCCAAATGGAGACAACCTAAAATCATAATGAAAAAAACCACCAACCCAAACTTCAAAGAGTGAGTGACGCTTTTCATCTCAGTTAAGTTTCTTTTCCTAGGATCTGGTTTCTCAGCTTCCTGTTAATCTCCCAGCAGTTCAGAGTCAGGTTTTAGTTTGTAATAAGAACAAGCAGGGGTGAAGGACAAGAAATCCCAGCTGTTGCTGTGCAGCCATGGAGCACCTATCTGAAGAAAAAACGATTTCTAATTTTTTGCCCCATTCTTGACTTAATTGTAGCATTTCCTTCAGAGTCTTGTCTTCTGACATCGACAACTTGGTGTCAGGCTTTCTGGGGTTAAAAAAAATTTTTAAAAATCCTCACTGCTAAGTCCTAGGCTGCTCAAATCCACTAGCGGGAGGCACGAATTAGAAATAGCCACTAAAGCATTTTGAGGGCTTGTTTTTTTTTTTTTTTTAAAAGGGCATTTGCTAAACCTGACTCAGAACAGCAATGCCCGGAGCCAATTAAAGCCACCTAATGAGGGTGTGTTGCCTGCTGGGCAAAGGTGGAGAAATCTCTTTAGCAACCCCTTTTTTGCCACGGCAGTTAGTGTCAAAAATTTGAGAGGAGGATTTCTTTGCAAACAAAGTGACTTCTCGCGTTCAAAGTTTTCCAGTGTTTTCCAGAGAAGGGGGGACGGGACTAAGGCTTTTCCAGGAGGAAATGGGTGTTCGGGGATGGGAGGCGCGTAGCCACGCTGGAGGGGTTACATTCTTCTTTGGGACAACCCCACGGGCATCTCCCTCAGGCACTGGGGGTGCTGCCTCAGCCAGGGAAGGCAGTTTTTTTGGGGAGTGCCAGAGCCACGCCTCGCTCACTTCTGCGCCAGTTTTGTGATGAGAGCCTTCCACTCTGCTCTCTTCTGGGTGACGTAGGAGGGGGTGAGGAGCTGCAGCAGAGGCTCCGGACGGTCCCTGAAGTATCCCTGACACAGAGCCTCCGTGTTGCAGATCACGTACATCCCGCAGTCATAACTGTTCTGCTGGGCGGGCGCCTTCTCCTCCACAAAAGTCGCTTTGCCCCCCCTTTTGCCCAAGAAGGCCTCGAGCTTCGTCGCCACCTGCTTGGCATGGGCCGAGTTGCATTTGCTGTGCGAGTCGTAATGGGCGAAGCACTTTTTGTCCCTGAAATAAACCAGTAAGCTCCAGTGGGTGCCTCCAGCGACCTGGTTGGAGTTATCATTGATAGGCAAGAACACCAGCTTCTTGTGGAGCAGGTCCAGCGGTTGAAGGAACATGGCTATTTCTTCCTGGCTAAGGGCACATTTAATGAACTGAGCCACTTCGGGGCCGATGAAACAAACCTGGTCACGGAATTCTTGGAACTGGTGGTTGGCAAAGTACTCGAAGGCGAAGCCGATGATGTGATCGTTAAGCCAGTTCGGGGGCTCCAGCAAAGCAACGTCTGACTGCCTCAGCAAACTGTCCATGTAACTGAGAACGACGGGGTCCATCCTGCGCACGTCGGGGCTGCGGCACTTCAGAGAACGTGGAAAGCTGAAAACGAGAGAGGGAAGATGCAGTAAGGATTTGATAAGCACCGCAATTCGTCATGGCGCCGGTATCCCTGAAATAAAAGCGTTTGGGGGCCTGTCTGAGGGGCATACGGTCCCTTTTACCTAGCAGACTTGGTGTCAGACGCGTGACCTGTTCTGGGAAAACCTGCTGGCACAAGGAGCCAATGAGTAAGGAGGGGAAAAAAAGGCCAGGTGAGATCACAAACGAAGCCGTTCCCTACCGTGGGAATCTTCAGGCCAACTCTCTACCTAGCTGGTAGAGATTTCAATAACTCAAGTGCCACTGAAGGTGGACAGGTCTGCAAAATACCTCCTGATTTTTAGCCAAAAGCCAAATTTTGGGTTACTAACAGATCACAAAAGATCCCTGGGGGCTTCCACTGGTGATGTCCACCTGTCAACAGGAGCAACCATCTGCCAACAGGAGCAACCACCAGTCATGCTGACCCGCTCTTCCCAATTTTTACTGGTTTTTTTTTTTTGTCCAGGCTACATTTTTCCCTCTTAATCTGCACCCACTTTCCACAGAAAGAGGCTGCTTTATCCTTAAAAAGGCGCCTGGAAAGACTAATGCCTCATTCTCCCCTTCTGTGCGTTTTGAGGACATACTCAAGGGACTTCACCAGGTCTTCCAGGCAAGCCTTCTCCTCCCTCCTTTCCGTTTATCAGCTTATCCACTAATGCTGGTCTGTCTCCCAGTCGTATAATTCCTTTTCAGAAGCTGTCGCAGTCGCTGCCTTCCCGTCCTAGGGGGAGATTAAAGTGTGTTTTAAGCAAGAGGTTGCGTAGCTCACTAGGAGGTGCTGCTTGACAGATGACACGGAATACTTGCTGGCACCAGACTGAGATTTAAGAGATCTTCCTACGAGAAATGGTGGATTTATTAAAATAATAATAATAATTTTTAAAAAAAAAATCAATGTGCTGTGTTGTTCCCAC